ATCGTAGGCGAAGACCTGTTGAACCTGAATCCAGTGACTGGGATGAAATCGAGGAGGATAATAATCCGGGTTACCAGCATAACTTCGCGTACAATGAAATCCCAAAGCATTGCCCACCCAGAAACTCCTCACCAATAACCTATTTCTATCTATTTTTTACAACTGATTTGATAACAAAATTTGTGGTAGAGAAAAACAGATACACTACAAATTACTTGCGACCTGCTGAACACGGCTCGTCACCCCAGAGTACATTGAGATCTTGGGTAAGTTTAACCTCTGAGGAATTCAAAGGCTTCCTTGCTGTCATTATAAACATGGGCATAATCCGGAAGCCATCGTCCCTGTCTACTGCTTGGTTTCCAAAAATGTTCTCTCGAACCCGATTTGAACTTTCTTTAAATTTCTTTCATTTGGTTGATGGCAGCAAACTAGTGAAACATGGCGGACCAGGCTATGGCCCATGCGCAAGATTTCAACCACTCATCGATCATCTTAACTGGTTAGCCAAGTTTTAAGTACCCTACCAGAAACTATCTGTCAATGAGTCGTTAGTGGGGACAAAAAAGAGGATTGGCTTGACCCAATACCTACCAAAAAAAATCACAGGTGGGGAGTGAAACTGTGGGTACTGTGTGACGCTCTAACCCATTACTGCATGGCACTTTTTTGCTACAAAGGTGCCAAATACAGAGAAAATGACGAAAAAACCACTGAGCATGCCACTGAGGCCATGGCCTGGCATTCTCTGTATGCAACTAACTACTGAAAATCACTAACTGTTTGAACAAATGCTTCCATCTATTTTTAGATAATTTGTTCTCCTCTCTACGCCTAACTAGATACCTATATTTTAAATTAACTTGGCTGATAGGAACTCTTGACAGAGTAGGTGTGCGCAATGTTTTACGGGGGAAATACGCTGTTGGTAAAAAAAATACATTTTGTATGTCCCGCCTTGTACATGGTCTACCGAGAGAAACCGACCAACAAATCCCAGTTTATTCTGTTATCAACAGATAGCAAGGCAGAAAATGTCAGATACACAAAAATGAGAAGTAGGAAAATAATTGTAAAGACTAAGTATTGAAAGAAACTAACTTGCTCACTGTCGATTTACAATCACATGGTTTATAATTAATTAAATCATGTGTATGTTCCGACAACGGAACCCAGTTTGTCTCCCATCTGTTCAAAAGAATGTGCTTTGGGCAGGTATTCACCAGGTGACTAATGCTGGGGCTTTTAAAGCAATACCTTGCCTTGCCCATACAATTGATTATAAAAGATGGGCTTTAGGCCAGAGAAGTATTGCAAACCTTTCTGCGGTTTGTAGGAAAACAGTCGGGCATTTCAAGCACTCTGCAAAAGCAATAAAAGCACTCAAAGCGGCACAAGCAACATTGGGCCTACCGAAACACAAACTCATACAAGATGAACCCACCCGTTGGAATTCCACCAAACACATGATGGATAGACTGATAGAACAACGACGGGCAATATCTCTAGCAGCACCAGACTTAACCTACCGACTGAAATCACTACACCTGATTGGGAGCTAATGGCTAATGTTGTGAAAGTGATGAAGATTTTTGATGATGCCACCTTCCAGTCAAGTTCTTCGCTCACTACAATATCAGAAGTGATACCGATTGTGAAGGAGTCAGCTATCTGCAGTGAGTGGAATTGTCCATCGTTCAGTTATAAGGATTCAATATTTTAAAGTATCTAGTGAATTACAAGGTTAAATTTTACATGTATGCAGTAAAAACATTGGGAAGTACTATTCTAGTTACTGAATAATCAATCTTTTATTCTATTTTTGTAAATAGTGTGATATTTAAGAATTAAAGTACTCACTTTTCAGTACCTATGTAGAAAAGCACATGTTTTGAAGATCATATTTAACTGTATAGAACATCATTATGGGCACTGCACCAGTAAAGTTAGAGTAAAATATATAATTTTTACTTGTAAATAAATAAGTTGAAAACTTAAAAGTGATATTATTTTACTCAGAAAGACTCTGTAAAAACAATAAATATTAGTCAGTTTGGTTAGAGTAGTAATTTCCTGGAGAAACATTAAAAACAAACTGATCTTTTTCACGGCAACTATACATCTTATCAGTTGTGGCAACTACAGACTACAAAGTTCAGGCCTGTTATCCGAGCTGGACTACATAAACTGACAAGATTATAGATTATAGCTTATCGTTACTGACTACCTGTAAAGTCGAGTTATTCATGATTATAGTAATTAATTTTTGAGCTAGAGCTCAACATTGTTGCCATTTTCAAAACAAGGATATTTAGTTTTTCTGAGAGTAAACCAATCAATACAAATCAAAGAAAATTAATTAAAATGCATGACAAAAATTAAAATAATGTATGAAAATGTATGAACAACTAAAAAAAAATTCATTCGTTTTAAAAATATAGTAGCATACATGTTTTGAAGTATAAATAAAATAAATTAATGTTTAAAAAAAAATTAAAATAAGCTTATTCAGCAGACAAAAATGACCAAAAACCCATGTGGAATTTGTAAAAGAGGGGCAGGGTCAGGCTCCGTTTTTTGCAAAGGTTTCTGTGGTTATTGGTACCATAAAAGATGTATGAAGGATATGACGGATGTGCAATTCCGTGAAATCTGCAAAGAGGGTACTCAACACAAATGGAAATGTTATAACTGTAAGAAATCTGAAACTAATCAGGAAAACATGACAATGAATAAATGTTGTAAAAGAAACAATCAAAAATCTTGATATAAACAGCAACTCAAATGAGGACCTGGAACGCTCACTTACAATTGCACCAGAGGGTGGCAGAACTCAGAACAGTTCTAGACCTCATTTTAAAAGATTAGGGATTTTAACCATCACAAGTATGTACATTTTTGAAATGATTAATCTATTAATTAACAATATAGATAATTTTGAAGAGTTTAAATTTACACATAACTATTCCACACGTCAGAAACATTTATATCAATTCCCAATACATAGACTAACTCTTTTTGAACGTACACCAAAGTACATGGCTATACAAATTTTTAATAAACTTCCAAAAAGAATCACCAACAATCCAAAAAACATACTCCTAGAAAAATTACATGAGTTATTAATTGAAAAGGCATATTATAAAATAGAAGATTTCTATTCTGATGTTTTCTAAACGGACAAGAATTGGGTTAATTTTGTAAACTAAATTCACTTTGAATACATACCTGATGGCTTTCATTGATTTTAGCAGGATTTTATCTTATTTGTTGTTTTTTATAAGGGTAACTTTTACTTGATGTCAGTAGTAATAATTTTGAGTTGTGTAAATTTATTAGTTATAGTATTTTTTTTTAATTTTTTTTTTGACGACACTCCTGTCTTTGTACGTTGTACTATGTAAGATGTTATGAGTGAATAAAGAATTTGAATTTGTGAAGGGTGCAATCAAAGAACTTGAAAACTTGATGCAGGTACCAGGAATAAAAGCATTTGCTACAAAACTGGTGCAACCTATTAACACTAGATATGCTGATGAGAATGTAAAGGAATATACTATTGCAACATTGTTGGATCCCAGATTGAAGGCTACAGTGTTTATTTCACCCGACAATTTAAGGAAGGCGAAAAGGGATTTGTTGGAAGAAACTGAGCTTCTTTCACCAAGCGATAGATGTTCTGCCAAACTCCAACCACAGGTAAGTAAAATATTTCACCGATTATTTTTTTTGCTTTTACAAATCATAATAAGGCCTATAGGCCCTAATAAAAATTGGATGTTTTTAAATAGTTTTTAAAGTTTAATTTTTTTTTATTTATCTCTATCAATGCTTAAGAAACCAAATTAAACTTAAATTATAAATTACAGCTTAATTTTTTTCTCCCAATCAAAGGTAGGCTAACTTTATTACTAGCCTACCTTATTCAATTTAGGCCTATCTCTATCAATCCTTAACAATTGATATCTATCAATCCTTAAAAATTTATGTCTATCAATGCTTAATAAACCAAATTAAACTTAAATTTTAAATTACAGTAGAACTTGGATAATTTGAAAACTTTGGAACCACACAGCTGCAACATATGGAATTTTTGGAAGATGTTTTGGAAGAAGTATTCGTCCTTTCCAGGGCTTGGGGATCTTGCAATCAAATATTTGTCAGCTCCACCAGCTACAGTCTTCTCAGAGAGACTATTTTCAACTTCTGGGATAATTTGTGACAGGAAAAGGAACCGTTTGGATCCTCATTGTATCCAAATACTCGTATTTTTGAACAAAAATGTTAAAATCAAATAAACTGAGGTACCGTACCTAGGTTAAGTATTTGCTTCGTAACCAACTATCATGAAGGAACTTTAAATACTTTGATACAAATTGGTTGGTTTGAGATCTAACCTAAGTAAAATTTACATTCTTGTAAATAACAACCTACTTACGTTAAATTTTATTTTTTTAAGACTTTGTAAATGTACATACGGTATATGATCATGATTACTGTAGGCTATAATTTATGTTTGTGTGTTTTTTGTGTTTGCAAATAATGTGTTTTTTTTTTCAACTCAGAAATTACACTCAACTAAATATGAGTTTACCAAATTTGCTTAGAAAATAACCAGTTATCACAGAACTGCAGATATACTTTGTTAAAGATTTGTCGATTTGTGGTCAGTTTGAGATCTATCAATATTTTTGCAAAACTCTCATTCTTTTAAATAAAAACCTACCTAGCCTACAGTACTTTAATTTTAATTTTTGAGATTTTGTAAGTTGGCATACATTTATTTTTTTAATTCCTGAAATTATTGTCACATAGTTTGAAAACAGCCCTTTGGTGGTACAAGTTACAGTTTTTTCCCAAAACTCTCACAAAATGTAAAAAGGGTTCAGAGGTTTTGGCTATTACTTTCAATCGGGTGGCTAGAGTTTTCCTCTGTCACAAAAAATGTTTTTATTATTTTTGTCAGCATCCAAAGGTTTAACATTAGTAACCAAACTTGCCTGTAGAATTCTGGCGACAGACAGAAGCAACACACCAAAAAGGAAGCCATTGTATTGGAAATGGATGTGGTCTACGATGATGAGGCCAGCATTTCCAAGCAACAGAAGCTGCAAGATAGCTGCTGGCGAGCCCCAGCGTAAACCCCAGCGACTGCTCTTGCGTACTCCACTACCACTGAGATACTGGCAACATCTACACATTGTGAATAAATTAACCAAGAGACAGCAAAACAATCACAGGATATAGTTATCTCCCTACTGTAACTAATTGAAACTTGATATTATTACTTTAAGGGTGATTATCAAATTGAGGGACAATTCATGTCCCAAGAAAAAAAAGTTACAAACTTAATACAAACACATATTGCTGTTGTTTATTTATGTCGATTATATCTCATTCCATCCTTATTTGTAGCATAAACGATGAATAAACCAGTTTTAAATAAGTTAAAAGTAAAGTTTCGTCAGTTTCGTTACTGTCCCCAGAGGATTCAATATCATGAAACTCTATAAAAATGTAGAATCAATATGAAGTACATAAAATATGTATGAAACATAATCGTTCAAATGAGTACATATTTTAAACACATTTAAACTCTCAATAATATTTGTATATATAAAGAAAAAACAAAAAACAGAATGTCCCCAACCTTTGTAATCGTTTGCCAAGCTATTTAAATTTCGCGCTACAGACAGGATTGGCCGATATCCCACCCAACCATACTAATGTGGCAAAGTGATTGAAATAAGTTACCAGCATAAGTGTTCTAAGTGAATCGTTTTATTGTTAATTGTGACGAAATTAAAGAAAACAGGATCCCTTTATTACACATCAGTTTTGTTACACGTGTTTAAAGAAAACTACTAGTATTACGTTTATTCAAATCAAGGTTTAGCAGAAGACACATGGCCAGCCAAAACATAACCTATGATTCGTTGCTCACTTCAGTGATGCTTGACGCAAACTGGCAACAAAAAATGTCATGATTGTCAGTTTTGTTATGGTCATTTTCTTTCTGTTACCAAAGTACCTCAAGGTTTCGTAACGTGATGAAACTGACAAAATCATGATGGAACTGACGAAACGTTATGTAAATTACGATCTTTGAATTCCACAAACATAACTGATCGTTTTTATAATTCTAGCTTTCAACATGCTATTTAAGAACACGTAAATTAATTTACTGGACAATATTAATCCGTTTAGCAAACTGTGAATTTGTTGTCGCAACCAAATTTATTGTCCCTTTTTAATTTTTCCCTCTCTTGTCTTTATCCCTGATGTTTTCTTGTTTTTATTTTCTATATCATACTATATAGGCTATGTCATTTTATCTTTATATTTTTAGGATGTAATTTAATGTAGGATTTTTTGGTTGTGGAACTGGTAGACGAAAATGGGGAAAAAATCAAAGAGCAATAAAATTTCAGAAAAATATGTAAGGCAAAATAAACTAGCTGCCAGTTGTCAGAAAAAATACAGAGATAAAATGTCAGAGGACCAAATGGCAGAATATAGGAGGAAGGCGAGAGAAAGATACCAAAAGAGGAAAGCTGAAAAAAGTGCTTAAGATCAAAAATGGAAAAAAGACTTAAAGAAGTACTGCTATAAAAAGAAAGCACTAGAGAAGGCATTTCCAGTCTGAAGATGAAGAAGTTAATGAAGTTGTACCTCAACCCGTTTCAAGACAGCACACCAGTGCCAGAATGAAAGTGAGGCAAAGATAAACTAAAAAATAAGATGAAAAAATAATCAATCTGGAAAGAAAACGAGAAACGTCTAAAAGGCAACTGCAAAGATGTGATAGGCAAAGATAATGTATCCCCACAAGTAAGAAAACGATTGTTCGTTGGATTCGCATTAGAAAAACAATTAAAAACCCTGTTGAAAAGGGTGAATCCAAAAACTAAAGAGAGGAAAATAATACAAAAAGTAGTCGGCATGAAGATCCTACGAAAATATACTCGTAGATTGCAAAACAACACATAATTCCCTACAAAAGCAATAAATAGGATTCCGAAAAGGTAAATGTAGATTATTTAAAAAAAATTACAGGACTATTAAAATTAAAAATTCTAATATAGGTACTTCAAACTTTTTTTAAGATGACAGTGTATCTAGAATGTGTCCTGGAAAGAAAGATGTCGTGAAGAAAGGTAAAATAAAGAAACAACGACGTTTCCTTTTGGACACTGAAGAATCTTTATTCAAGATTTGTTACAGAATTTGGGCAAAGAATTTCATACTACACATTCACTAGTGTGAGACCGTTTTGGGTTCAGCAAAGAAAGACAACGTGCGCATGCATAGTTCACGAAAACATGCAACTTTTAGAGAACAATTTGAACCTTTGAATATAATTCAGTTTTCAAACATTAATGATGTTGTTGATTGTGAATCCAAAGAAGTAGACTTCATTTCTGATCATATAATAGAAAATGTTAAATTCCATCAATGGAAAACTGCATTTGAAACTAAAATTATCAAGGGGGTCTAAAGATGTTGTGAAAAAAAGGTAAAATAAAGAGACAACTACGTATCCTTTTGGACTTTGGACACTATGAAGAATCTTTATTCAAGATTTGTTACAGAATTCGGGCAAAGAATTTTTTACTCCACATTCACTTGTGTGAAACCGTTTTGAAACCCAATACAATACAATACAATACCTAATTGAATACGGCCAATACAAAAGGTAAAATAAATTTAATAGCTTTATAAACATCTCTACGTTCTCAAGGATTGTGTTTGTAAAAGTTCTTCTCAAAATCTTTTCAATGCCAAGATCTTTTTTTGCACAAAACTAGCAGTGATTTTATACTCATAAATATAGAGGTTTTCTATTATCTTTTTACATTAAATGGATAAGCTATTCAAATACATAATTTTATACTCGGTTGCTGAGAGATTAATTCGTTGTTTTTCTTTCAGGTGCACTAAAAGAAAAAACTACAGAAAATGTTTCCTGTGCCTCAACTAATATAGACCTGGACAGCTCCCATCTTAAAGACAAGCAAGTTGAAGTTGAGGATTTCGCAAATTATGATACCTCTCATTTAATAATTCTTTTATTGATGAAGTTGTTTTAAGTGCTTCAAGTGTGATTGAAGAAAGCCAACGATCGCATAGGAAAAGAAAGAGATATAAAAATTACTTATTCTCTAATGAGGAATTTGAGTTAAGTGCTTCTAGTGTGACTGAATAATGCCCAGAAAGCCAACAAATGACTAAAAAAGGAAAGAGTTATGAACATGACTTATTCTCTGATAAGGAACCAAACCCCAATGACCATGATTATTTGCCAATCAAGATTTGTTACAGAATTTGGGCAAAGAATTTCGTACTCCACATTCACTTGTGTGAAACCGTTTTGGGTTCAGCCTCCCAAAAAACATGGGACATGGTTTTCAGTATTAGCAACTTGTACCCCAAGACAAGAAAGGCAAGAAAGTACCCCTTCCCATCTGTCTGAGTACCTTGATTTTACGTTTTTTCGTGACTTCTCACAAAAAGAAACAACGACCTACGAATCGATTCGGCCTGGTAAAAAACTAGGGAATCCCAAAGTTACTGCCCTGCCAGCCTTAAGGTACAATCCTAATGGAACCATCGACTACAAACTCAATTTGAACGATGACTATACACCCTTGCCTGTAAGAGCAAAACCAATCTCTGGGTGTGTTAACTTTCCCCAGTTGAACAGCTCAAGACTGAAAATCAAGAAATCAAAATGGGACCATCTACAAGAGTCACATCCCAACAGATTGTCATGACTATTACGACAATATTCCATTTGTTTCAAGTTAGATCATCAAAACGTGTAAGGAATAGATTTTTTATCATTTTACTAAGTTGAACTGGCCCAACTTAACTCTTTAATTATGTTAAAAGCGGCATTTTTGGACAGGGTTAGGCTATCGATATAAGTTTTAAAATACTTTTTAATTAAGGTACAAATCTTTACAATTTTACCATGTTTATTTTATTGTCGCTTCTGTCCAAATCGCTCCCTAACCGAAAACTGGCTGAGACTGGACGGAGCGGACTGAACTGAGCGGACCCAGTGTGCGGCTCTACATTTGAATAGGTACATGGTCTTCAAAATTAGCGGAAGGGACTGAACTGAGTGGACTCAGTGTGCGACGTGCCTTAAACAAAATATTCGTCGCTTAAGAAACAACACCGCCTAAGTGACATTTTTTCCAAAAATGAGATTTTCATTTCCAAGGTTTCTGCACTGCTTTAGGTCAGCTGTGAAGACTTAGTTTAGTTGAATTCCACCAGAATGTGCAGTTATTCACTGTTTTTCAAACACCGCCTATCTGCTGCTTAAGAACCAACACCACCTATCTCCTTTAGTTCAGCATTGTGTCTAATGGGTGAAAGAGCATCACTGTTGCTAAGCTTGAGATTTTGGTAAGTTAACAAAGTTTATTTATTAGGATAGTTGTTGTTTCTACCTTATAATTGAAGTTTGATTGTTTGACTATCTATTGGTGTTATTGCTTTAAGAGTGTGATTTATTTTAATATTTGTTTAATGCTTTTAAATTTGGCTTTGGACATAGGCGGAGTTGTTACTTAAAAGTTTAGCAAATCTGTTGGACATAGGCGGAGTTTCTAATGTTACAACTAGGCCTACATGGTAAAGTATTTCTGCCAGTCCCAACAAGTTAAAATTATTGTGTTTAATTTATTATTTTTAACTAGGGGGAGGGTGGGATGAAAACTTGTTTTTACTTATTATGATGGAAAATGCCCGCAATAATCCCATACCATAACCAAAAATGAACTTCAAACAAAGAAGTTATTATTACTAGCCTACTTTACTTTTAAAACTTTTCCCTGTCAATGAAACTTAAAAATTAGCAGGTTAGGTCTCCATGATTGAAATAAAGTATGACTGTTTCTGCATGTAATGTGTTGTGTTGCAGGTAACACAATCGGTGACTCAAGTGAAGGTGATGATGAGCTCGAAGACTTTTTTACAAGCAAGGAAATTCTGCGTGAAATGGGCTTCACCAGCAGCCTAATCGAAAGAACCATGCTAGATGGAAAAATAGAAATGCAGACCAAGAGTGTCTCTTCAGGTAACCTATTCTTAGACCATAGGCACTAGTAGCTCCATTATTTTGAATTTTAAATTTGAAAATTGCCTGTAATTTTATGTTATCCCTTTATTTTTGACCATACATACATGTGGCGTAGGCATACTTTATTTTAGTAGTAAAATAAAGATTAGTAAACTAATTGGTTTTTTACAGATATATCAACCGGAAATGCAGCTTGCAGCAGCAGCTCAAGTGATATCAACATACCAAGATCTAGAAAAATGCCTACGCCCTCTATTTATGAAGATGATCCTTTATTTAGCGATGTGTCAGATCCTGATGACCCTGACTACGCACCAGATATGGACGTCAATGATGTACAGGAGATGGATGCTGGAGATTTTCTTGATGATACACCTAACTCAGAAAATAATAATGACCCAGAAAATGAACATAGAACAACACAAGACATGGACATGGACATTGAACAAAGGACAAATAGTACTGCACAAGAAAATGAAATTAGTAACAATCCAGTAGACCAAAGTGGGCTTGCTCTGGACAATGAAGAAGACAACCAAGAAAACCAAAATAGACCAGCTAAGCTCAGAAATAAAAACAATAAACAAAATTGGAGCAAAGTTCAAAATTACGATAAGAGGCAAAAAGGAGAAGCTTACCTTGGATACAGAAGTTAACCCTGGGAAAATTGCTCATGACGTGCCAAGGGAAGCAAAGGTGATTGGACCTCGCTGCCAATCAAGAGCGTGTGTACGTTCTAAGCTCAGAGCATGCCCAAAGATAACGGAAGAAGAGAGACAAAGTATGTTTAACAGATTTTGGAAAACAATGAGTTGGGACCAGAGGAGAGTTTATATCGTCAGTCTGGTAGATAAGACTGTTATTTCCCGAAGTAAAACAGAACCTGAGATGTCTAGAAGAACTGAAACCTTGAAATATCATCTTGTTATAAATAATGAACGTCTCCAAGTATGCCGACTTACATTTTTGAATACATTTGGTATAAAGAAATGGACCGTTCGCTACTGGTTGTATGGCGACGGAAAACAAACTCCAAATCTCTATGTAAGTGAAAAAAAAACTGTGCATTCATCGTCAATAACACGGGAGTCAAAAAAAGGACAGCCAAAGAAAAGGGAAGATATTGATTTTCTGAAGAAGAAGTTTTTTAACATGATATTTATGATATTTATTCTCAATTGACAACTGTGATCTCTTCTGTGATATAGGCTAAGTTTTACATGTATGTTACATAAGGTCTACTGTGATAATGTTCATGACTCTGTTACATTTTCTAGTTTATAGTTTTCTTTGACAATGTCTATTGCACAACCGTGTCTAATGACAATAAAGCATTCTTTCTTATTCTTATTTTTATTCTTAAGTCTTTGCCAAAGCTTCCCTCCCACTATTGTAGGAGTAACTCTACCAAGCTGTACCTACATAGAACCTACATTCGATTCAATATCAAAGTTTATGTGTTATACCAGGATGAATGTAACAAGATTGGAAAAAAGGTCTTGAGTAGATTTACTTTTGATAAGGTTTTTGATAAGGAAAATCTGTCAATTTTTCAGCCTAAAAAAGATGTCTGTGATTTGTGTAACAGTTTCAAGATAAAAAGTCGAACGGTATCTCAACAACAATACGAAGAGCACATCTTACAGAAAGACAGAGCTCGAGAAGAGAAGAAAAGGGACACAGAAAAAGCAAAGGCCAAAGAAATTCATATGTATACTCAGGATACTCAAGCTGTGAAACTTGCCCCGTGTGTTAATGCATCGTCGATGTATTATAAAACGAAATTCTGTGTACATAACTTTACCATGTTTAATAATGGTACAGAGGACGCGATGACCTATTGGTGGGAGGAAAGTCAAAGTGACCTTAGCGCGTCGTCTTTTGCTTCTTGTGTTGTTGATAACCTAAAACACACACTTAATGATGATCTAAAAAGTGTAGTGGTGTGGTCCGACGGTTGCTGTAATCAAACCCAAGCGCTACTATGTCCAATGCACTGTTACACCTATCCATGGAAAAGAAGTAATCATAGAACAAACATATTTAGTTAAGGGGCACACAATGATGGAGTGTGACAGTGTGCACTCCACAATTGATACGGTCCTAAATCCCAAGAGAAGGACAAAAAATAAAAAAACCGTCAAGGAAATATTCCTCCCAAGCCAGAATGCCGAATATGCTTAGGATGCCAGGAAGAAACCCTTCCCATATAGGTCTAAATACTTGGATTTTTCTTTTTTTCGTGATTTTTCTAAAAAATAAACGATGATGTATGACTCAATACGTCCTGGCAAAAAAGTTGGAGACCTCAAAGTTCAGGACCTCAGGGCTTTAAAATACAGCCCTAATGGTTTGATAGAATACTAAGTGAGCTTTGATGATGATTACAAAAAATTGCCTGTGAGACAAAACAAAACGGCGTCTCGCGTTTTTCCTCGTCTACACAATAGCAGATTAAAGATTAAAAAATCAAAATGGGACCATCTGCAAGAACTTAAGGCCCATATTCCACGAGGTTGCCATGACTACTATGACAACATTCCGTTTGATAGCTAAGCAAAAGAGATGAAAGACTTTCCTCCAGAGGATTCGAGCTGTAGCCCCAGTGAGGTTCAGAGCCCGCCTGACGCCTTCCACCCAACAACAGACAATAACGTTCACAAAAGGCAAGTGACCTGTGAACATTCTTTTGCATTTTTGTTTTTCAAGTGATTACACCATTCGCCTTTTTGTTCCCTGGTCCCTCTAAGTTTTAACTCTTTGAACATTTTGCAACATTCGCCTCTTTGTTTCCTGATCCCTCTTAGTTTTGACCCTTTGAACAATTTATGAACACGTAAAAAATAGATTTTAGAAGTGACCTGTGGACATTCTTTCGCATTTTTTCAAGTGATTTCACCATTCGCCTTTTTGTTCCCTGGTCCCTCTTAGTTTTAACTCTTTGAACATTTTGCAGCATTCGCAACAATTTATCAACTCGTAAAAAAATAGATTTTAGTTAAATATTGATTGTGAATTTTATTTATGAAAATATTATAACAACCTATTAATCTTTGTTTAATCTCATATTATTTATGACTACCTATGCCTATAATACCCATAGATCCAAAAAGAAACAGACATCACCGCCTATCTTTAACTTATAACACCGCCTATCTTTAACTTATAACACCGCCTATCTCCGTTACCAAAAATAAAAACCGCCAACACCGCCTATCTCCAATAAAACTTTTATATAAAGTACGGTAATTATTTATATTCAAAAGAATACCATCAGCAACAGACATAAAAAACAAAAAAAACATATCATATAGTATATTTCTATAAAATTAAAACGTTTTTTGCTTCCCCTGAAAAATTACAGCAATGTCACTTGGGCGGTGTTGTTTCTTAAGCGACGATATGTTGCTATAAACCATTGGTTTCACACTTTCAACACCGCCTATCTCCAAAAATCTAAAATAGGCCTAAATAAGGACAACACCGCCTATCTCCATTATTTTATTATAATTTGATTGAATGCCGAAATCATGTCTATTATCATTAACAATGGCCTTAACCCATAAAAAAAAACAAATTATATGATTCTCATTGTAATATGACAATTTTTGTAACGTTTTTACTTCCTCCTGTAAAATCTGGGAAATGTCACTTAGGCGGAGTTGTTTCTTAGGCGACGATATAATAGATGATGTTAAATTCCATCAATGGAAAACTGTGTTTGAAACTAAGTTTATCAAAGGGGTCTAGAGGAAAATGAGAAAAACAGTAAAGTGTGAAGTGTCTGAGCCAGTATCAAAAGTTAAACAAATTTGTTTAAGTCCCCAGACATAAAAAAAAACACGTTGCCAATCTAAGATATCAAGCCAGAACCTTCAGGCAGCTGAAGAAAAATCTTAAGGACGGGGTTTTGGTTTTACACATAGACTTTTCCCAGAACTATGTAGCAAAGTATGCAACCGAAATCCAGGATAGACATTTTGGAGCCTCCAAACGTCAGATATCGTTGCATACAGGGCTGATGTATTATTCCAATGGTGACGAAACAATGTTACATGGCACTGCACTTCAATTATAATTCCGATTTATTTTTAGTTTTAGTTTAGTTCAGTATAATTATTGCTTGAGAAAAATTCACTGTTCCGTTGGAGTTCAGATGCACAACACTGACTGCTTTTTATTCTGCACTGCACATGCGCGGCACCTCCGTTCCTTCTGTCACTTCTGTCCAAATCGCTCCGTAACCGAAAACTGGATGAGACGGACGGAGCGGACTGAACTGAGCGGACCCAGTGTGCGGCTCTACATTTGAATAGGTACATGGTATTCAAAATTAATGGAAGGGACTTAACTGAGCGGACTCAGTGTGCGACGTGCTTTAAACAAAATATTGTATTCTGTTTAAATATAGACCTGTGTACTTATAATGCTTATTATTTAACCACCTGACTTATGCAAATAGTTGTTGACACTATCATATGCCTACTTTAAGTATACCTGTGTCATTGACTAAGAAACAGTGTTATTAACTGATCAATATGCACCTATTTTCTTTCATTCAAAGAAAAAAAGTACCAAATTTAGTAATTTAAAAACATGTCTTTATTATATTAGTATGGTAAACACGATAAGATTTCAAACCTAACTATTCTACTTAGATCTTCCTACAACAAACTGTTACCATCAAACAAATTGTCATAGTTTGAGCAAATGGTTGAGGAGCCACAGTAATTCCTTAAACTGTCATTCACTAGGTAGTTTAACTTATAGTATAAACACGGCTTGGCATCAAAACAACACTCTTTTTTCGGGTGGTTTCCTAACTAATTCTATAAATATCACATAGATTAAGAAAAAGATTTTACTTACTCTTTAATTCCATAGGCGAACACTAAATCAGTCACGATAACTGTTAGTCTTTGAAAAACTACAGTCTCATATGATGCATAGTTTAAATTTTTGACTTGCAGCATTTTGGGATCAAAGAAAACCGCAATTTGAGAAAGGATGAATTCAAACCAAGCGAAAAGAGGGGGATAGTCCAGGGTCCATTCCGATGTAGCTTCATTATACCACTGGCGCAACGGCAAACTGTGGGTGATTGCCAGCCAGTTACGGTGGACTTCAAAATCTGTTGATCGGCTATACCAAGAAAAAAAAAATCATTAGAATTAATTGGGATAAGCACGTCTAAACAGATTAACAATTCAAAACTCTTGGTAACATATTCACGTTTTATTAAGCAGTAAATAGAAGCTTAGGCTCATTTACCTAAAGACTAGATTACTGGTAGCCTATATTTGCATTAAAATAATTATTCTATCTATCTATATATTAATAGGAAAGCATGTTTCTTTAAAACCTTTTTTCTCAGCTCGTGTGCATCGCAGGCAAAATCTACTCATACTGTTAGAAAGATATTTTCCTGTAGATGTGCAGAATCCCTTTAAAAATTCAAATAGGCTAAAAAATAAGCACAAAAAATGAATTTGAAATTTAAAAAAATTAACATGGGTTTTATGGGTTGCCATGCTGGTGACGAAATAACAAACAACGAATCATAAACAGAAAATCAAAACAAATGTAAGAAATTCCAATCACATGTTTTATTTACAGTGTGGGGTGAAAATAAAGAAGACTGTAAATAACATATTTTTGGTCGAGTTTTCGACCACGGGACGACCTCTAGTTATCATTAATATGAATCGTAGTCGCCATTGACATAAACGGGTATAGGAAAATATTTATTCTGAATGATTATTCAGATTATCTACTCAAATTATCAATCGATTACAACTACTGACTTAACACTCACAAGCACCAAGGTAAATGTTATTATTGAATTGGGGCAGCCCTGGGAGATTGGTAGAACTAATCCACCACAGTAGTTGTATCTAATCTACTAATTTACCACTCGAACTTAGTCACTAACAAGACTACAAGATCGTGCCACTCATCCTACACTCATCCTTCACTCATATTTGGGTTAAAATACGCACATAGTGGTGTCCCCATCTTAAATAGTTGATTGATTGATAGTTTCTAACCCTCCCCTTCCATGTGGTGTGGTTATCAGTTGGTTCAGCTTTAGAGTTTGACCTTTTTATATATCGTTGTTTGAAATCATAGTGGTCTGCCTGACCGTAGTGATCTGGTTACCATTTTTTTGTGACAATCTTGTAGGTGTTTCATTTACAGTATTTAATGGCTTGTGAAACCGGTGTTTCAATTTATGATTTTCTATCTATGCTTTAATTGGTAAAAATAGGTGAAATGGCTCGTAAAAATGATAAAAAGGATCCTGATTTAAATTATAGAATTCGAGACCTTTTATCATGAATCACATTGGAAATTCAATTAAGTTACCGTACTGACAAAATTGATGATTCGTACACAGTTTCAATCTGAAGAGGAACATAGTCAAGCTGTCTCATTAGAATCAGATAAAGATAACAACCTCGGATAAAGAATATAATGACAATCCCATGGAAATCACAGAAAATTACAACCTGCCAGCGTATTTTGTCAAAAGGAGGAAGAAAAGAAATCTGGCCAATCGCATGGGAGTGTATTTGTAAAGCTCCTCCAAATCAGGTCAAATTAATGTATTTTCCAAATTTTATCAAAACATGTTCATAAACAAGCAAACTACAACAGTTGACTTATTCTCCATAAGATTAACATGGAAATTTTAAATTTAAAATTTTCTGCATAACTATTAGGCGCACAATAACGCTTCAAATATACCAAATTATTTGTTTTTTTATGCTCTTCAATATGGTTTGAAAGAAATTGTGATATCTTGTGTTTATAGGGTCAAAAATGGGAAAACCCTATGGCCCTTATTAGACGAGGCAGCCAAGTTGCGCAGCCAGCCGGGCAGCCAGTTGGCCAGCCAGTCACTCGGCATTGGTTCTTATGGAGCTTATTACACGAGGGCAGCCAGTTGCGCAGCCACTGTTTGGCTGCCGGCTGGTTGCCAAGCCCGGCGACCGCACCACTGGCTGCTCGGTCTGGTCGCGCTCCTGTGTAGCTTACGGATCTTATTACACTGGGCAGCCAGTCGCCCGCTGCCACACATCAGTAGTCAGTAGTAGATCATCACTCGTGGTCGTGGAAGTGCGCTCATCTCTGCCGGTCACATCATTGTGTGTTGTTTTCCTCAGTATTCTTTTGGTGAACAATGTCGTCTGATTGTGAAGTGAGTGTGAATGTTGTAGCAAACAACGAGAATAGTGAAGTGAGTGTGGTTGGAAGTTGCAATAAATCTAAAAAGAAGAAACAGGGAGATGGCTCTAAAATTACTGCACCAAAAAGGTGTCTCTCCCCAACAGAAACTGTTCCACCAACACTGTTCCACCAACACTGTTCCACTGTCAACAAGAGACTGGCCTAGTTGGTAATTTTGTGGCTGCCCTGTGGCTGCTCTACTGGTTGCTACGCTAGGCAGCCAGACAGGCGACTGGCTGCCCGGCTGGTTGCGCAACTTGGCTGCCTCGTCTAATAAGAGCCTATTTCTCCGGTAAACCGCCGTTGTTCCCAGAGTCCAATCATGCTAAATTCGCAAACTCGTTTGAATAAATGTAGGTTTACACGTTCATACCAAATTTCATCAAAATCGTATCATTTTTGCTCAAGTTATTGTGCTAACGGACACATAGATATATATATAAATATATATATGAATTTGAACGGGTGGTGTTTTTGGCCTTTAGGAACCTCAAGACAAAAAAGTTAATCGGTCCCGGGTCTAGGTCTTACCATGAGTACTACGGTGATAGCTTATTCCCTATATGGGAAATTCGCTAAAACGAGATTTTCAAGAGACTTGACAGAAGTGACAGGCTTAGGCTACCAATCTAGCTAACGAATATGGAGTCGGCCGAGATTTTATCCATGATAACCATGTAATATTAAACTATTCTGTGAAAGCTGTGACAATGTGAAAAGTTTAAGGAGAACTTTGAAGAAGAACGAGTTTCCTCAGGTTGAGGATAATCTAAATATTTGTGGTTCATGCAAGAGCAAACACAGGCACACCTCAATATCAGGAGAATTTCTAAAATAAAAGGCAAACATATTATATGAAAAGATAATGGGGAAAGATGATTTTAAAGCATGACAGGTGATAAACTATATCGTAATGTTGCTGCAGCCAACCCAAGATTTAGAAAAGTTTAAGGAAATCATCGAGGAGCTGAGAGTAACACCTGACTAAGTTTACAATCAGATGAAAGTGGGTTATTTTACCGTCTTTTACTAGGACCATGTGGATGCACAAACACTAGTTCAGTGTCTTCATCTTCATCTGAAGAAAAACAAACAACCAAAAGAACCTCACAAGAAAAAAGTACCAATGGCCAGATCCCAAGCTAAATCTTTACAACATCTTAAAGAAAACCTTTCTCCCAATGATTTAAGTATAACTTACGGACTTTAGTGAGAACTATTCTTTTGTGATTCAAAATGAAATTCAGAGCTATCACTGGTCAAGACGCGGTTGTACACTTCATCCTATATGCGTTTATTGGGCGAGTGAGAGGGAACTCAAGGTTGCAAATCACTGTTTTATTAGTGATAACTTGGATCATGATGTCTCTTTTGTTAATGATGTCCAAAGAGAAATGATGAAATGGCTGAAAGACAGTTTTCCATCAGTCACAAAGGAGCACTATTTTACGGATGGATGTGCCGGGCAATATAAAAACAGGAAAAACTTTAAAAATATTTGTGAGCATGAAAACGATTTTGGGATTTATGCTGAGCACTCCTTTAATGCCACAAGCCGGTAAGTCAACCTGCAATGGTCTTGGAGGTACCATAAAACACACACCTTGAAAAGCAAGCCTTCAACGAATTGATCATGAACAAATGACTATTGCAGGTTACTTAAATACCCCCGCCACAGCAAACCTGCAGACTAAGCGAATTTCCATTTGACTGATTGGATTTACACTGAAATGTCTACTTAAAAATATAACATTTATTCTCTATTTAAATAGAATTAGTTTAACTAGTACTTAGGTTTGCTGCATCAGGGAGAGTAAAACTGTTTTTTTTTGTAAAACGTTAATAGTTAGTAAGAAATAAAAACATTTTCCAAATTTGATCAAAATATGTTCATAAACAAGCAAACTACAACAATTTACTTATTCTCCATAAGAATAACATGGGAATTTTAAATTTACAATTTTTTGGAATTTTCTCCGTAACCATTAGGCGCATAATAACGCTTCAATATACTAAATTATTTGTTTTTATAAGCTCTACAAAATGGTTTGGAAAGAAATTGCTAAATTTTATGTTTTTTGGGTCAAAAATGGCAAAAACCTATTTTTACCCCATAAAACCCCCCTTAAACCCCCGTTCCCATGGTCCGATCATGCTGGATCGCGAACTCGTTCGAATAAACGTAGGTTTACACGTTTGTACCAAATTTCATCAAAATCGGATCATTTTTGCTCGAGTTATCGTGCTAACGGACACATATATATAAATATATATATATATATATATGAATTTGAAAGGATGGTGTTTTTGGCCTCTAGGGACCTCAAAATGAAAAAAAAATCGGTCCCGCGTCCAGGTCTTACCATGAGTACTACGGTAATAGCTTATTCCCTATATGGGAAATTCGCTAAAAAGAAGGAAGTGCCTAATCCAGAAAGAAGGAAGTGTCCAAGAGTTGTAAATCAAGCCAAAAAGCTTGATATAATACAAAAACTTGTACCATTGATGCCCCCAAATAGGCGTTCATTTTGGTCACAAGTGAAGAACCAGATCTCATCACAGAGTTGGATGTAGAATAAGTTCTCAAAAGTGTTAACTATTGACCAGTGATTTTTGCCTGCTATGTATTTTAAGATTATTGTCTCATCACACTAAACTTAAAATTTACAAAACTGTCATAAGACCTGTCCTTCTCTATGGAGCTGAAACCTGGATTATCGATAAAAACACAGAGAAAAAACTTATTACTTTTGAAAATAAAGTCCTGCGCAAAATCTTTGGCCCTACTAAAGAAGGAGATGTGTGGAGAATTAAACGTAATCAGGAACTAAGAAACCTGTTCAAGGAGCCAGATATAATTGCAGAGGCTAAAAGCAGGAGGCTTCGCTGGACGGGCCACATCATTAGAAGAG